CGCATCATGGATATGCAGCCAACAAATCTGCAGCAACTGCCTGATGCTATCATGTCAATATGAAGCAAAATCTCTGAGGAATTTTTCCAGTACCTTGTTAAATCTATGCCATGAAAGATTAAGGCAGTTCTGAAGGCAAAAGCGGGTCCAACTCGGTACTAGTAAGGTGTACCTAATAAAGTGGCCGGTGGGTGTCAATTTTGGAACATCTCGACCTTATTGCTGCTTTTGACACTATAGACCACACTATTTTACTCTCCAGATTAAAGACAATTTTGGAGTTCTGCATTGAAATGGTTTAAGTCTTACCTTTCTGAGTGCAAGCAGTTAGTGACGATCTGTTGTGGTTCACTCTGGTGTTTCCCAGGGGTCAGTATTGGGCCCTTTACTTTTTAGCATTTATATGTTCCCTCTTGGACAGATTTTATGGGTGTACTCACAATAGGCTATCCAAACCGTGTCTGGGCTCATTTCCTGTTTCAGTGTGAGTGCTCCAAATCGAGCCTAGGTTGGAAGAGGTGTGCCACAGCACAGTTCGGTTGGGCTTTAGCAAAGTATGCATGTAGTGTGACTGCAAAGTGCACCTGAGCACAAAACTAAAGATGTGAAGTCACATTTAAGAGATGGATTTCATTTTCACATGGATTTATTGATTAGATTTTTGTAATTTTATAGATTTATTTGATTAGACATGCAAACCCACCGCTGCACGTCAGCTGCCACCTTCAGCAAATCTCCTAAGCTCGAGCTCTCAAGGCAAAAAATGCAATGTGAGTGCAGGCCGAGGAGGGAACAATTGCATGAGTGAGAGCACTTGATCTTGGACACTTTTATGCAGAAGGCACTCAGATCTATATACACTCAAAACTAGATATCAATATGTCCTTTCTTTCCCAGTGTCTCATTGGGATAAAAAAAGAAAATGGATGTCTGAAAATGTTCTAAACAGTGATGCTTATTAGATCACCACCTCATCAGTAGTGCAAAGCAGAGCCCACTAACTTAAGGATGCATGGCTCTGCTATTCAGTTTAAAAAACTAAAATGAAAAACTTGGGGGTAATATTTGATGCCAACCTTGCATTCGAGCCTCATTTTCGAGACACAGTTAAGAAGTCTTTTTTTAAATCTGAGAAACATTGCCAAGCTTTATCCCATGCTGCCTTTTTATGTTGCTGAAAAATGAATCAACACCTTTGTGTTTTCTCGAATCGACTATTGTAATACTTTGCTGGCTGGAGCTCCAAAAGCTACCCTAAGCAAGTCGCAAAAGTTCAGCTGCTGTAATTCTGACTACCTGTGCTGGCAAGCACAAAACACCTATTTTGAAAAAAATGCACTGGCTTCCTGTCAGTTTTCAAATTGATTTTAAAATTCTTATCCTAACTTTTAAGGCCTCAAATGGTCTTGTTCTGCAATATTTGCCTTACACCCCATGTTTTACACTTATCTGAGGCTGACCTTTCACTGTTTAGTCAACAAGTCTAAAATATTTGGAGGAATTGGATATTCTCTTTATTGCCATCTATATTGTGGAATTGTCTGTCCTCAGATATTTCTCTGATGTTACTTTAGAAAACAAAGGCGTGGCTATCCACAATTACCCTCTGACTGGTCTTAGACTTTTTCATACTGTTCTTTTATTTGTCAAGCCCCTCTCATATGACCATTACACAGCCAGTAGTATCATGTGTTTTAGATGGAGATCGTTTTTCTGAAACAGTAAAAACATCAATATGTAGGACGAGTGTTTTTCATTCTACACTGCAATTTTAAAATGAAAAAGCACTAATGAGAATGCAGCGAAGAAAGACATGTACAGTTAAAATTAACTAAGAATTATTAACCCCCTTTAAAAATTTTTTCTTTGTTAAATATTTCCCTGATGATGTTTAACAGAGCAAGGAAATTTTCACAATATGCCTGATAATATTTTTTCTTCTGGAGAAAGTCTTATTTGTTTTATTTCAGCTAGAATAAAAGCAGTTTTTAAGTTTTTAAAAGCCATTTTAAGGTCAAAACTATCGCCCCTTGAAGCTATATATACTTTTGATAGACTAAAGAACAAACCATCATTACACAATAACTTGCCTAATTATGCTAAACTGCCTGGTTAACCCGATTAACCTACTTAAGCCTTTTGGGTGCTTTCACACCTGTGAATCGATTCAGTTGTTCCGAAACAGCGATTACAATTGTTACATTGTTGCTCTTTGCTCTTGGAGCGGTTCTCTTTCAAACTGCAAAGTTTCTAATCGAAACAAAGAGCTAAAACAAGTCATGTGCGAGTAAACTCTCCTCACATTGGTCAGAGTGTCAGGGTTTATTTTGCAGCGTCCCGCTCAGCTGTCAGGAGAGGTGGTGGTTTGGTGGTGATTGACAAGGTGCGCGCGTGCTACGTGTCTGAGGAGAGATGCGGTGGGGAGGGCTGAGAAGGGTGCGCGACGATGTCTATTTGAGGACCGGGAGGGAGACGCGAGATTACCGGGAGATCATCACTCGTTTGCGGGCATCCGGAGACTCGCGAAACTTCCCGCCAAACTCATAATTCTCTCTTCATATAGCCGTAAGCCTATTACATATCCATAAAACACTGTGATATGACCGCTCCAGGGTTCGTTTCAATCGAGCCGAGACCACCTCATTCAAGCGATCTCGGAGCGATTACTTTGGTGCAGAACAGAGCGCGATTGCCCTGTTCACATATGCCAAACGAACCGCGCTAACTGGGCAAACGAGATACATTCCAAAACAAAAGTGTAGGTGTGAAAGCACTCTAAATGTCACTTTAAGCTGTATAGAAGTGTCTTGAAAATGATCTAGTAAAATATTATTTACTGTCATCATGGCACAGATAAATCTGTTATTATAAATGTGTTGTAAAAATCTTCTCACTGTTAAACAGAAATTGGGGAAAAATAAACAGGGGGACTAATAATTCTGACTTCAACTGTACATATGTATTGAAGAATATTGGAAAGAAGTAGCCACTGACTTCTGTAGTAAGAAAAAGATGTTAAAGAAGTCATGCTATGAGGAAGTCATGCCCTTTAAAATAAATGTTAACTAACAAATTAATACATTAAAATTTTTTTTTTTTTTCTGTTTTCTATTTTAATTTAGTTTCATTTTAGTGGGTTGCACAGTGCCTCAATCGCTGTCAAGCAGCCGTCCGAGTCATTAGGTGCGGTTTCAATATCCACAATCTTCAGAGCTTGTAGTGAAAATGTTGATTGCAGCATGGACAAGGCACAACGAAGCTCGGATAAGAATTCAGTTCGTTATGTTGACACTTCCGCGTGAATGGTGGTCATAATTTTCTCCTTCAGAAAAGCAGGCGTTAGCTCATCCTCCCTCTGCGATGCGTTAGCATCAGCGGCCTGCTTGCCTCCTCTTGCAGCCAACATTTTAGCGATATTTTGTCCTGATTTTCACATTTTTACGTTTAGATGTGATGCAGCATTGCATACAAAGATAACTGAGATTAATTGAAAAAATACACGAATGTTCACTAAGTGACTTCCAACTGCATCTAGTCTCCACAAAGCATACCGGAAGTCTCCAATTTAATTTAGTTTAGAATTGAAATAACTAAAACTAAAGGTCCAATTCAATAGACAAATGCCTGAAACAATAGATCCCTATGGGGCTAATCGCACCATGTGAGATCAATCTGGACACAACAAAGCAAGTTTTTGTTTTTGGTCCAGCTGATTTTTTTTCCTCGTCACCCTGTACTATTGAGCTGTAGCGGATGCACTGCTGGTCATATAGCACTTAAATATAGCCAGTGTAAATACTGTGTGTTTGTTTTAAAACATACACTACCGGAAACTTTATTAGGTACCGAGTTGGACCCCCTTTTGCCTAGCATCACGCAGTCGCTGCATATTTGTCGGCTGCACATCCATGATGGGAATCTCCAATTCCACCACATCCCAATGGTGCTCTATTGGATTGAGATCTGGTGACGGTGGAGGCCATTTGAGTACAGTGAACTCATTGTCATGTTCAAGAAACCAGTCTGAGATGATTCAAGTTATATGACATATTGCGTCATTCTACCGGAAGTAGCCATCAGAAGATGGGTACACTGTGGTCATAAAGGGATGGACATGGTCAGCAACAATAATCAGGTAGGCTGTGGCTTTGACACAAAGCTCAATTGGTACTAATTGGCCCAAAGTGTGCCAAGAAAATATCCCCCACACCATTACACCACCACAGCTGCTTTCATGTTGTTGAGGTTAAATTCTGACCCTACCATCCGAATGTTGCAGCAGAAAATCAGCCTTATCAGACCAGGCACATTTTTCTAATCTTCTATTGTCCAATTTTGGTGAGCCTGTGCAAATTGTAGCCTCAGTTTCCTTCCTTAGCTGACAAGACAGACTTTATATCATCTGTGAAAATGAGCAGCATGAACATTCTGCCCAAAATATCCTTTTGTGTTTTATAACAGAATGAGAGTCCTGAAGATCTGAAATGATATGAAGGTAAATAGGCATGACAGACTTTAAATTTTGCTCTAAACTAACCCTTAAACTCCAGAAAAGCTGTTGTTAACTGTCTATAATCAAGCACATTTGTCTGGGGAACCTGAGCATTTGTGTCAACAGCCCCAACAAGGAAAAAAGCCAACCTGACCAACTCTATTTACAAGATAAGGCTCTCGTTCCATCAGAGTTTATCTTCCGGATCACCTTGGGCTGCAGCCCAGCCCGGGAAAGCGCAGAGGGTTCGGAGACAGCAGGCCAATTTCTCGATTCAATGCTTTTAGTCATCTGCCTTTGAAAGGCAAACATTCAACCTAATTCTGCAGCGATGCAATAAACATTCCGCCCAAAGAAAAAAGCCACAATCTTCTACTCATCCGCGCGCAGCATAATTTCAAAACAAGTCATTTTACATAACAGGCTTAAGTGGAGGAGCTTAAACACACACTCTCACAACACACACAATCAGCATGCAGTCAGAAAGAAGCCTGTGTGGAACGCTTACCTTTTTGAAGGCGTTGGCGTCCCGGAGGAAATAAGAACGGTATCGCTCATGTTGTCGGCCAGTGGCCTCAGCTGACTGCAAAATCACAGAGTCTGAGTCAAGCACTGCCACTCTGAGCTTTCTGAACGCACAAGTGGACATCAAAAAGCGATGTTACACCGTTTGACTGTGCATAAAACTTCCTCATCATAATCGCCTTCCAGATGCACGTTATAATTTAATGCTATTTGCCCAAACTTAATTAAGTTAACAAGATGACAAGAGCGTTCTGAGGAATTCTAATTAAAGCTGGAGAAATCTGAGAAGGTTGGGACAAACTGGAGGGGTTGACTGAAGGTTGAAGGTAATTTATGGGAGAAAACAGTGCTACAGGATCCTTCTGGACTCGACGGATACCAGTCGTGATCTACACATCTAATAGGTTTTTCTTTCAAAAGGTTATTTTAAAGATGTTTTGCATTTATTAATGCTATGAAAATATTTGCATGGATATTTAGAACTATTTTAGGACAAACTGAGATTATATATACAGTTGAAGTCAGAATTATTAGCCCTCTTTTGAATTATTATTTTTTAAAAATATTTCCCAAATGATGTTTAACAGAGAAAGGAAATGTTCACAGTATGTCTGATAATATTTTTTCTTCTGGAGAAAGTCTTATTTGTTTTATTTTAGCTAGAATAAAAGCAATTTTTAATTTTTTTAAAGCCATTTTAAGGTCAAAATTATTAACTCCTTTAAGATATATATATATTTTTGATAGACTACAGAACAAACAATCGTTATACAATGAGTTGCCTAATTACCCTAACATGCCTAGTTAACCTAATTAACCTAGTCCTAGATAAACCTTTAAATGTCACTTTAAGCTGTATAGAAGTGTCCTAAAAAACATCTAGTCAAATATAATTTACTGTCATCATGGCAAAGATAAAATAAATCAGTTATTAGAAATGAGTTACTAAAACTATTATGTTTAGAAATGTGTAGAAAAAATCTGCTCTCTGTTAAACAGAAATTGGGCGAAAAGAAACAAACATGGGGTCTTATAATTCCGGGCGGCTACTAATTCTGACATAAATGTATTATTCATTATTTTTATATATTCAATCTGTTAAGGTCCCACTGTTTAGGACTTTAGGGGTACTTATTTATTTCTAAAAATACAATTCATACTTTTATAGAATCAGATAAAATACCACTTCATTAAATAGCTTGGTTATATACATGGGTCAAAGACAAGATGTCTGTTTTTGGTGAAAGCACCAAATTCAATTTAGGAAAATAGAAAACAGTTTGAATGCAGGAGTTTTGTTTAATATTTTAAAAAACATTTGCTAAAACAACGTGAAAAATGGCTGAAATAATATTCCATCATTTAGCATAACAGCTATATTTATGTGAAAATTAAACAACATACGACCTGTACGTATTCAAATATCTTCAAGTGATTAATTGATAATTTTTTTATTCATTTTAAATTATTTCAAAACTTTATTCTAACAAATATGTCAAACCTAGTGGTCTAAATGATAGCAGCAAAGTCTAAAGATTTAAAATGACAACTATTTGATGATGCTGTCTTCTGTAAACCCTGTAAATTAAATTTTTTTTGTAAATTACACAGTATTTAACTGTAATATGAGCTGTATTTTACTGTAGAACAGTGCTGCAGTATGTAACTGTATTTGTAAGATTTTATGTGAAAATGACTGTATATTTTACAGTAAAAATACACAATTCCGTAAATATATATATACAGCAAGATAAATGGTGCTTTAAATGTAAACATTATTTTTGCTGTATTTGATTTACAGTAAGTTACTGGATAAATTAAACACACAATCTAATGGACACACATAAAAAAGGCTGCATTCGACTTTTACTATTCTGATACTTTGACCCACACACAAAAAACAGACCTACTGAATATTCCCGTCCTTGTTTTACTCTTAGGTAATCCTAAAAGAGTGATCAGTTTAATGGAATTATCCATTATTATTTCATGACTAAAGGGCAATCATTCAACAATTACAAAGTTAAATAAATCTTCATCACAACTACAAAAATCAATATTCACTCTAAAAATGTCCAAAACTTTTCTGTGATTTTTTTTAGGATTTCAATTTTAATTTAAATACAATTGACCATGAACGCTGCTCAAATCTGAAATCTTTTATCTCAAAAACACAATCTCTTCGAATGAAAGGGAACATCCAAAGGACGGCGTTTTCATAGTTCAGAGAGTCTGTGCATTTGCATTACTGAGACGTCCTAATGTTAATGTTCCCTGAGGCTGCCAGCATCCCTCGACTTTTGGAACATCATTATATTGCGATTCGATCTGCGTCTGTCATGCTCCCGAGACCTCAAAATGAAATAGTTACCAGCATCAAGCAAAGTGATCCAACACATGCTATAGATGTTGACTAAAACTGCAGGTTAAAACCCCCAAAAGACAATGTTGACAATCCCAAAGCGCTTCTTTTGTAAGCAATAGCTCACTCACCTCCTGCAAAGCAAAGAGTGGCCGTCTGTGAAGCGGTGAGACGCAAACGGTGACCGCTCCGTCCAGCTGCCTGTCCTGCTCTGTGCTCAGCTGAAGGAGCATCTCAATGCACAACACTGCTGCTGTCTCCACGGAAACCTGACAGTCACGTGACACGCTGACGATCCAGACACACGCTTTCTCTCTCTCTCTTTTCCAGCCTTCAGGCTCCACCGTTTAGTCGCACACACACTCAGCTGCTCAGAAATAGACGCTTTATTTCTCCCTGAGAACATTTAAATTTTTCTGATCTGTCTCAGCCTCCTACATTAGTCATAATCCTGAGCAAACAATCAGGTTATTTTAGCAGGACTGAGCTTCATTTACAACACAATTACAATATTGAGCATAGCCTACGCAGAAACAATAGTCTAATACTTAAAGCACAAAGCTAATTGTGACTATTTTGGCGGTTTGACAGAACTAGTTCTGTGTAATAGGACTGGTTTGGACAGCTAAGACGTGCTTCCTACAACCTTTTCCACACATTTTTCAAGTCAATTATGAAGTTTGGCTGACGCAGACACGCAGCCATTTAGTTGTGTGTCAAAAATTGTGATTATCTACAATGTGGAAGGAAATAGATGGATGCTAAATGGGACAACTTCGCAAAGGTCATTTCCGGCAAATGACATCATCGAATCCTAATGACATTTTGGCAGTGATGTGTGAATGCAGCATGGATAAAAGACAGCAAAGGCATGGTGTGTGTAAGTAGCTCAAATAGTACATTTAATGCAGAAGATAATCAGCCGTATTTACTGAACTGAGAATGGGTTTCAGGCATAGAAATTGCTTTTAGTGATTAATGTTTACTATTTTTTAAATGCTCTATAATATTTAAATTAGTTTTAATTTGTTTTAAATTTTGGTATGGTATTTGTCATATTTAATTTGAGTTTGTGTAACGATGATGGAAATTACTTTGAAATTTAATGGCTTAAGCGAATATAGCACGTGCCAAACATTTCAGTACTTGACACTAAGGGCTCTGTTTTAACGATCTAGACGCAAAGTCTAAAGCAGTGGCTCCAAACCCTTTTTTGCCTGAGACCCCCTTTTTCCTCGGAAACTATTGTAAGGCCACATTTAATGATCTTATCGCTAATACAAGTTTGCAGTACGGATGACAAAAAATGTTGTTTTCAAACAAACGGTATGTTTATTACTTTGTCTAAATATGTTCATGCACAAATAATAGCCTAATGTAAAATAGAAAAGCAAAACATTCGTAGGCCATTTGAAACTAAACAACATAAGTCTTTATTCCTTGTGGTAAAAAAATGCTCTAGGCTTGTCACAGTATTGGAGATGAGTCGTCTGCAAATGTCTTAAAGAGCCCATATTATGGGTTTTTGAAAATTCCCCTCCATGTAGTGTGTAACACAGCTCTAAGTGAAGTGAAGTATCCAGCTAAGGCTTAAATCTGTAAGAATACAGTGTTTAAAACGGTTGATTCATCTATAAAAGAGTCGACTCATAGTGCTTCAAACGAGTCGCCTTGATACCGACTCATTAGGTGTTTCGCCATGACGTACGAACGAAACCAAGTTATTCACGTGCACGCGCAAACCCGGCAGATTTCAAACCTGAGGCCCCGCCCTCTGACGCAGAAACCCAGACACACACACACACCCACAAACACACGCACACCCACAAACACACGCACACAAACATGCCGGTCGATTGAAGTAACACTGCAGATGGATATATTGAGTCTCTACCCAAAGATGAAACATCAGCATTATAACCAAGCAGTTGGAAACTTCTGGAAGCTACATGCTACAAAGAATACTTCATCTGAGTTTGTTAAAGGAAGGATCAGTAAAGAGTAACTGATGGACGTCAGGATGGGTTTCTTCCATTTCTCAAGTGTAAGTACGTGCGGTTAAAGTTGTTGCCTCGTTTACTCTAGCTTGCAAATGTATTTAGTTGTGATTTGTTACTTGTAACCGCGTGTACTGTATCAGGTTGACTGGATATATTCTCTTATCGCGTGCAAAGTCACGTTAAAAACGCGACGCGTGCTGTTTGTTTATGGAGCTCCGTGCTAGAGTTTTGCTCCCGCGATTTATTCGGAAATTTATTCCCGCGCCGCAGAAATCTGGCGTGGGGACAGCCGCGGGAATAAATTTCCGAATAAAGACCGGGAGCGGTCGGTAACGGGTTTAATTTGGGACGGGAGCGGGCTGTCTAGCAATATCACGGATATTGCTATGCGAATTAGAAAGAGAGAGTCTGCTTGGTGCTTGTGTGTGTGTTAGTGCGCACGCGCGCGTATGAGAGAGAGCGAGAGAGAGAGAGAGAGAGAGCGAACGAACGAACGAGCTTTGTGTGCTTTGTGCTGTGTGTGTGTGTTTATACAGACAGCTTGGCTGTCTGGACTGTATACTGGGTGATTTTTGGTTGTGTTCTCCGCTCTAGCGGGACCGGGCGCGGCGGGCAGAAAACGGAGCGGGTTCTCAGGCTAAAACCTGGCGGGTGCGGGCGGAAGCGGGAGCGTTGTCATCCGGAGGTGTTCGTGTG